GACACACACACACACACACACACACACACACACACACACACACACACACACACACACACACACACCTGTACTCCCCCACCAGTTTGTCGGCGTGAGCTCTCAACATGAGAGCGTCAATGAGCGAGTCACAAACGCGGGAAATTTCTCCCTCCGGGATGCCCTTGATGCGGCTGTACAAAGTCAAGGTCTCTCTGCCGGTCAGCTGATCGGTCAAGGCGTCAAACTGAGGGCAGTAACCCATGTTGGACTGGACCTGGTGTGAGTGGGTTGGGGGGGGGGGATGTTGTTATCAACGGAACTAACGGTAGAGAGGGATGATGGTGATGATGACGATGATGATGATTATGATGATGATGGTGATGATGATGGGATATGTAAAGTAATGTAACTGAAATGAATACGGCACTGTAATTATTCAATGTAATGAATACGATACTGTAATTATTCAATGTGTTGAATACGATACTGTAATTATTCAATGTCATGAATACGATACTGTAATTATTCAATGTCATGAATGCGATACTGTAATTATTCAATGTAATGAATACGATACTGTAATTATTCAATGTCATGAATACGATACTGTAATTATTCAATGTAATGAATACGATACTGTAATTATTCAATGTAATGAATACGATGCTCTAATGCTGTGAAATAGGACGAAAGTAGTAGGTTGTGAGTGTGAGAGCCCAACCACTAGACCACCGACACCACGTTTTTGTTCCTAGCTTTTCCCAGTGACCTACTGACCTTCTTGGTGTTGTCCCGGATATCGTGAGTCTTGACGTAGGCGTTGCCCCCCGACACCATCTCCTGGCCAGTGAGCATCTTGAAGGTCGTCGTCTTCCCCGCGCCGTTCTGACCCAGCAGGCCCAAGCATTCTTGTTCCGGCACGCCCACACACAGACCATCCACGGCCGTCAGCTCACCAAACTGAAGGACACAGAACCAAGGAGCGTAACCCCGCTCTATAGCAAGCTCTGTGTGCTTCACACTATGTTATTGTTATAGAACACTCAGAAACATTCTCAGCTTCCCGGGAAGCATACAGTGCAAGCGGCCGATTAAGAGCTCAAACACTAACAAATTGACATGATCTCTCACTCTCTATACCCGTGGACCCATTCCCACCTGGGTGAAATGAGGAAAATTCGTGTAAAGTGCCTTTCCCAAGGACACAACGTCGGGTCCCTGACAGGATTCGAAGCCATGACCCTACGGTTGTGAGTCCGAGAGCCCAACGACTAGGCCACCGACGCCACGCATGCCACCC